GAGAGTAGAGAGAGAGAGAGCTTGAGGAAATGTTTTTATGCTGGTCCTTTTCAAATTTGGCATAAAAAATGAAATATTGGGATTTGGTAGAGAGAGACAAGAGCTCGAGGGAGTGTTTTTATGCTGGTCCTTTTCAAATTTGGCATAAAAAATGAAATATTGGGATTTGGTAGAGAGAGACAAGAGCTCGAGGGAGTGTTTTTATGCTGGACCTTTTCAAATTTGGCATGAAAAATGAAATATTGGGATTTGGTAGAGAGAGAGAGAGGGACCTTTTCAAATTTGGCATGAAAAATGAAATATTGGGATTTGGTAGAGAGAGAGAGAGTGAGAGAAATCAAAGGACAAGAGCTTGAGGAAATGTTTTTTGTGTTGGAACTTTTCAAATTTGGCATGAAAAATGAAATATTGGGATTTGGTAGTGTCATAGCCTAAGGGCACATGCTAAGAAATTATGTCTCCCAACAAAAAAAGGGAAGAAAATGATGGTTTCAAATTCCTTGCACCCAAAAATAAGGAGTAAAATATTTGTAAATATTTAATTTTTACCCAAAAAAATGGAGGGATTTAAAAGATATATGAAATCTAATCCTTATGGTGCAAGAGATTTAGTTACATGCCCATGAACAAATCTAATAAAATTGTGGATCAAAGAACTTCTTTAAGTTCTTACAAATCAACCATCTCTTAATCTTGCTCAAGTATACACATCTCTTAGCTCGGGAGTCACCTACGGCAAGGGCCGAATCTAAGGCCGCTTCGAGGTTTAAAACATTGATCAGTATAATTCAAGTCAAATAACATTTTTATTTTTATTTTTATCGGTTACCAGATCGGTCAACCGATCTTTGAGAGTGATCCATCTTCAGGCATGAGAGAGAGAGAAACTTTTATGAATGTTGCTGCTTTTGATCATTTGAAAGATTTGTTATAGTCCCTAGAAAATTCTCTCAATCCTATTGATTCATATTCAACAAAATTTCTCCTTTTGGGTGCACATGTCGAATCCTTCTGACGATTTAATTCATCCTACCTTCTCTTTTCTTTTCTTTTATCTGTTTATTTATTTATTTTTCATCCTATCTTATGTTGAACTTTTTGAGAGCAACTTTTCAATTTCAAAAGTTCTCTCACTATCATTCTCTTTTTTTTTTCTTAAATATAATAATTATTATTGAGTGATGAACATGTGAATAGTTCTTCATTTGGATATGTGGTCTCATCTCCATCTCTCCTTTTTGTTATTTAAAGTTCTTACTAATATTTTTTTTCTCCTCTCCTTTTTTTTTTTTTTAAAACAATGTTCGTTATTTCATTAATAAACCGAAGAGTTACAAAATAGTTATACATTAATCAAATCACAAGAAATTAAAAGCACTTCTAGGTTCGTATCAAACTTAACAAAACTATCAGCTACAGAATTAGGGTCTCAATAAACATGTTGAAACGAGACCATCAAATTCTCACATATATCCCTAACCTCTAACCCCTTCGGGGTAACTCTTCATGGTGGTCTACAACGCTTGGTACACCAATTGACCATATTCAATGAATCACCTTCCACAATTCAACATGTGCTTGAAGAAGAAACTAAGGTTTTATTTAAGGAATGAGGACTTGGCATTTGAAGTCGGCATGGCAAGACAAAGAGGGAGACATTCTTTGAGGAACACAAGTTGGTGGGTTTTTTTCACTTTTCAAGTCATAGCTTTTTTGTCATCATGATAGAGAGAGAGAGAAAGAGAAAGAGAGAGTGGAGAAAAATGGATGTCTTAACTTTGTGGCCAAATATTCTGACTAATTATCATGGTCTAAAGTTTGAAACATCAAAAAGTTCGAATCTTTAAGTCGGCTGCTTGCTCTATGGTGGGACTTGCAGTGAAAGAGCCAAAAAAAAAGGGGAGCTGGATTTCTTTGAAAAACACATGTTGAATAAAATCTTGTCTCTATTTTTGAATATGATTCTTGAGGACCATTAAATTTTCTCTTAATTTCCATACATTTGATTTTGCTTGGTTTAATTCTTTTATGAAGGTAATACCTGTGATAAATAATATTTGACAAAATTCAATTCCATTGGCTACAAAAAGGGATTGTATACTATTTACATAAAAGGGTTGTAATCCCATTTAGGCAATCTAAGGTGAAACAATTTTTTTTTTTTTAAGACTTTGAGCCTAATAGATGGGACACTTTCAGCCTTCCAATTCTTTATCCAACAGCCAAAGTTGATTGTGATTAATAGTAAATGATCTTATCTTATATTTTCTAGATTAGAAAGGTATTTCAGTAGCAGGACTATGAGAGAGTATAAAATTTGGTTCTCTAAGCTCATTATTTTAAAGTTTAATTATGGTAGGAACTCATTAGAGTTTCGATCCCGAGCCTCCCATTAAGACTCGGCCAAGTCTGAGTCAGACCAAAGAAGTTTTTTAAAAAAAAATCGAAAAAAGGGAGATTAGTGTGATTCAAGGGTTTCCAACCTGGAATTGCCTGGCTCCTAGGTGGGCTGGCTCAAGGATACTTTTAATAACCGGATATGATTGGCAATCAAAAGGAGCTTCTAAATCTTGAGGGAAAAGGTCCATTAACTTATTTAGACATAGCCATAACACCATTACTACACTAAATAAAATAACACTATTTATGAACCTTTTGAGGAGGGGGCATTGGTGTTTGATTTAGGACCACATTTGGAAGGGATGTGCTTTCCAACCACCCACCATTGCACTCAATTGTTTTTTGGTAATGCATTTTTTTTTGGGTTATACAATTAATTAATTGGTAAGCAAAAAGTAATGGTAGTCATGTTTCCCATTATCAATTATGGTGTCAACCAAGTGGTTCACTTATTTAAAGCACTTGTTGGCCTATATGGAGATTCTTGTCCTTAAAAAGATGATCCATGGAAATTATGATAATCATGCTTACCAAATTTAGGGGATTGAAGCCAATTAAAATAGGCTCAAATGGGCCATGGGGATGTCAAAGAGAGAGAAGACAAATGAATAAGAAACAAGAATTATCTTGAAGAAAGTTTTATTTATTTGATGATCACCCCTTATTTAATTGTGTTTAATTTCTATGACTATTGCTAAGTAAGTGTTAATGTCTTTGAATTGCTCTTGTGTTTCCCTTAAGGCACTCAACATGGTTCTTTCTCTATGCTCCATGTTATATATTTTTGCATCTCCTTTGATATGTTTTACTCATTCTTTACATGTAAGTTGATGTAACAATATTTTCAAGATAGAAAGTTATTCTTGCTTGTCGACATGACTTCACAACACATGAGAGAGAGAGAGAAAGAGAGGGAGAGAGATTAGATCTTGTTTGACAATATTTTCAAGGTAGAAAGTTATTCTTGCATGTCGACAGTCCTTCACAACACATGAATGAGAGACAGAGACAGAGAGATTAACTCACCTTCATCGACATACTAACAAGTCTCTGAGATAGAGACTGTTCATCAGTAACACTCGTAGGTACTTTGGCAACACGCTTCCTCATTAACATACTTTGACAACTCTCTTAGATCTCGGTGCTTTTTACGAGAAATTTTTGCCGATTCTTCCGCAAAGAAACTACCCTTTTCTAGGGTTGACAACAGATCTGGTGG